CCAATTATTTTTGACGCCTGGTAAACAGCCTGTGCCAGAGGATAAGGCTTTTCTGGCTCTCAAATATGCCTTTTCTCTTTTCATGTGTCTGTCCTCCTCCCTTGAAGCTGCGGGGTGGGGAGATCTAAAAATAGTCAATGAATCACGGCAGATAATATTGTGCAGTAGTTACATAAACAGGCAGCCCGGGGGCCGGGGCCGTGGGTCGGAACGGAAAATATCTAGGTCAGGGCGCGCCGCGGTCCCTTGCGTCCCCTGACTAACTTGGCCAGAACGGTGTTCGAGGCCGTGATTCTCAGCGACCGTGCGCTAAGCCATAGTTCGAGTGTTGAATTATTTTGTTCTAAGTGATACGGAAGAGCACATCGTGCAGAGCTAAAAGCAGAAGCAACTGAGCAAATAAGAATTTTATAAACCAGCACGATTTCTTTAGCCAAGACCAGAAGAAACCAAAACCAAAACCCGACTTGCATCACCACTATTCTGCTTCCCTGTTGTCTCACTGCAGCAGGGATTTACTGCTGCCTACAGCTGCCTGTTGAAGGAAGACTCGTTCGTTTATCCTGTAGAGCGTTTTGCTTTGTTTTCTTATTACAGTTTCAGATACAGAATTTCTTCCAAGCCTTTAGATGTCTGCCTGCAGACTGAGTCCTTCCCAATTAAATGAGTCTCATTTTAAGATGTTGATGGTGGTCAAATCTTTAGTTGTAGGTTACTGAATGTGGTATTATTCTGCCCTCTGCATTTAAAATTTAAAATTTTATTAGATCCAGGTAACACTTAGCCAGTCAATTTTGCTGGCTTAAAGTGAGTTTGCAAAAGTTTTATTTTTTAGAAGTGGAATCATATATTTTGGAACTGAAAGGGACAATAGAGATAGGTTCAACCCCACATAATAACTTGCCCTAGGTCACACAGCTGTTAATATGATAGGACCAGAACCACAGTTTCTTGACTTCCTCACAAATCTATCTACCTCCTTTCCCAAAAGAAAACAGCCTGGATAGCTGTCCAGAAACAGGGAACAGTGGATACTGCCTTTTTGTTTTGTTTTGTTTAAAAGTGTTTGCAAACAAACTTGCCGTTGTGTATGTACCTTTTCTGAGCATCTCTGTGGTACACAAGCTGTGAATTACTGTTTTGGCACTGGGAGGCAGTGTGGTGTGGAAAAACAAACCTGGTCTTCCCTGCAGGTTCTTCTCCATTCCTATCTAGCTATGCAACCTGGCCTGAGTCACTTCATTTTTCAGTTGTTTCACAAGAAGTGTTGTGAGCATTAATGAGATGAAGTGTAATAGAAATAGCTTTTATTTATTGAGCTTGCTGCGTAGCACAGATGCAGTTCTAAGCACTTTACATGTATTATCTCATGTATTAACTATTTGAGGACATAGCTATTATTATTCTCTTCATTTTACAGATGAGAAACTGAGGCCCAGAAAGATTAAGTAACTTCCCCATTTGCACAATTCCCCTTCCCAAGGTCATAGAATTTACTGTAACTAGTGAAAATTCTGGAAAACTAACTGCGTCTGACTCCAGGCCCCACCCTCTTAAACACAATGCTTGCCATCCTTCTTGCCTCCTGTTTTTCTCTTATATCCCACATCCAATCAATCAGCCAATTCTGCCAGCGCCACCTTCAGATACAGTCTGAATCTGCCTCCTCACTAGCTCTACCATGAACTGCCGGTACAAAACTGCCATCATTTCTCTCACCTGGATTATTGCAGTCACCTCCTAAGTCTCCTTGTTTCTACCCTTTTAAACTACAGTTTTTCCTCAACACTGTGGCCAAAGGGATACTGACATAACAAGTCATATCAATTCACTGCTCAAAACCCTCCAATGACTCCTTTTGATCTTAGATGCAATGGTCTGAACATACATAGTTTCTTTATCTGTATTCTCAAAGACTATTTTATCTAATGGATAACACCACAGTGAGGAATCTATAGTTCCTTCATTTGTCTTAGGGTTCAGTATTCTTTTCATTTAAATGCATCCAAAAAATTGCTTTGGATGTATTTGTGTTAATATTCACTGCTATTTTTTTTTTTTTTTTCTTTTTTTCTGCAGCTGGCTGGTAATGGGATCTGAACCCTTGACCTTGGAGTTAGGGTCCTACAATTTCTATTCCCTGCCCCCCCATATTTCCTCCTTAGCTCCATGCCTTACCTCTTGAGATTTGCCCCTTTATTCACACCTTTCTGCATCCCTGGACTCCTTGATTTTCCTGAAATACCAGGCGCAGTCCTGATTCAAGACCTTTGCATTTTGTCTTCACTCTGTCTCAAATGCTTTCCCCCCAGATACCACGTGGTTTGCTCTATCACTTCCTTCGGATCTTAGCTTAGATGTCACCTTCTTGGTGAGGATTTTCCTTGGCCCTGAATTTAAAATTGCACAATACCCTGCCCCTCTGGCATTCCCTAATCTCTTTCCCTGCTTTATTGTCCCTGTAACATTTAATCGACACCTAGTATACTGTATGCTTTGCTTATTTATTTGCTGATTGCCTCAGTTTCCTCATCTGTAAAATGGGAGGGATGTTGATAATAGTATTTACCTCATGCATTGTTTTGAGGATTAAATGAGTTAATATATGTAAAGCCTATAGAACAATGTCTAACATGTAAAGCATTATACCTGTGTTAAATATTGTTATTATTTTCTTATTATTAAGCTACATGCTGGGTAATGGAATATAAAGTTATCCTCAAAAAACTTGCCTTCTAGAATAGAAAAGCAGAATGGTGACAGCTTTCTTGGTTGCTGAGTAAGCACAATTTCCACACTGACTAATGATGCCCAGTGCCTCTGGTCTGAAATACCTACCAGCGCTGATAGGATATTCTGCTGCAAATATAAAGCTCAAAGAGTTTAAGCACAATTTCCACACTGACTAATGATGCCCAGTGCCTCTGGTCTGAAATACCTACCAGCACTGATAGGATATTCTGCTGCAAATATAAAGCTCAAAGAGTCGAAGTTCGAAGATAGAGTTCCCACATCAGTTGTAATTCAAGTGTCATGCCTACCCCTTGGCTTTAAGGAGCAAATATAATGGCTCATGAAGAAGTTGAAAATATTGCCTGGCTGCAAGGGCTCTGACTTATGGCTGCCCAGAGCCACACAGCTCTGGACTGTAAGTGATAATCACTAAGGGTGCAGGGCTGTTGGGGACATGCTGTGTTGACTTAACCCCACTTTACATGGTGATGCTTTAGTTAGTTGGTTTGACCCAGAATCTCAGACTCACTGGCAGTAAATTCTCTCCATCATTTTCAAGTTTGCCATGAATAGTTGATTTACTACTAGCAAGTGAGCACTTTATTTCCAAAAGGGAGCATATTTTTCTCATTATGCTCCATTCATTTTTTAAAAAAAAGTTTTTATTTTCATTTTCCCATTCATTTTTGAGTGCTCACTTACCATTATAATTGTTCACTTTTCAAGCCTATGCCACAAACGTTCATACATAAACACACTCTAGGCTGCAGTTTGCTGAGAATGAAGGTTGTATTGGATCCTTCTACTCCAAACAATGTCTACCTTATCCTTGGTTTACTCATTCAGCAAATATTAATTAAGCATTTCTATGTGCCAAGCGGACACTTCCTTATCTTCATGGAGCTTATAGTTTAGAAATCCAGATCAAGGCTCTTCCTTCATTTATCCCAAAATCAACAGTCATTTCATCAGAGAGTACACCTTAAAGGCACCTGGATAATCTAATTCTAATGAATAATAGTTTAGAATGTCGCTCGGAAACATCAGTGGAGTTGCTCCCTGCCAGCCAGACAAGCTAGCTTTCTGTAAGTCACTAAAGTTAAGGTGCCCAGTGCAAATCAGCTTTTTCCTAGAACCAAACAAACTTTCCTGATAATTATACTTTTCAGGTTAGTGACCTAATCCTCACTCACTATTGAACATATGTTCTACTCTTCATCATGTCTGTACTCGGCTATAAGCATTGCAGATATTTATTTCAGTTTAATTAGGGAATTGGTGAACAAGGACATTTCAAAACAGAGGGGAAAAAAGTATTTTCCTTCTGTAATATGAATTCAGCTTTGACACCTGGGGATGAATTTAGTAGCTCCGAATCCTTCAGTTTTTGTGAAGATAGAGTTTTTGCCAGCATATTAATTACATCTTTGTACAGTTTTAATAGCCCTTCAAAGTGTGCGGAATTGCTTCCTATGTGTACAACATTAAATAATTAGTTTTACTTAAATTAGTCTGCTATATTAAGAGTCTGTTCTCGAAAAATTCTGGTCATTGAAGTATATTTTTTAAGTGCCTTAGGAATTAAAGTACGTATGTAGTGCTTTACATTTGAGCAGATAAGGACATGTTTGTAGCCTTCTGGACAGATCCAGAGAAGCCAACGTTTTTAAAAATGGAAATTTGGAAATCCTGTGTGTGTGTGTGTGTGTGTTACATGTGTACATGTGTGTGAAGGAAAGAAAAGAGAAAAAGGAGCAAGCAACTGAGACTCAGGAATATCTGCTGTAGTAATAATTTAAGTGGCAGAGCAAATTACAGATAGGAAATGGTTATTATCCTGATAATATTTAATTTTCAAATGGTATTTGATACATATGAAACAAGTTTCCATCATCCCTGAAAAGGAATGCGGCAATATTAAAAACATGTTTTGAAAAGAGTGAGATGATCTAATGAGCTGTACTGATGGAGTAACATTCCACAATATCATTGTAGTCAGCCAGCCAGCCAGCCAGCCAGCCCACCAGCCTTCTGCAGCAGCTATTGAAATTAGAGCTCTTAGGATAAATTAGTTTTTCCTAGGGACCAGAAATACAATTTAAAAATAAATTTTAAGCATATTAAATATTTTGATCATCTGCTTTGTGAAAAGAAAAGTTAAGAGTACCAGCCTGGGTTCCTGGTTCTAGCTGAACTCTTAGCAGGCTTACATCCCAAATCACCTTTTGTCATTTTAAATCATGCTTCATTTCTTTTCTTTGGGACAGGACCTGTTTACACTGGGCATGTAAACGCAATCATCGTCAGGTGGTCTCTTACCTGTTAAAATCAGGAGCTGACAAAGAGATTCTTACCACAAAAGGAGAAATGCCAGTCCAATTAACATCAAGGAGAGAAATCAGGAAGATTATGGGAGGTGAGTCTGAGTTTTGAGGGAACTTTTGATTTTGTCCAGCTAATTTAAGACTTGTGGTATTATTGTCTACATTATTCTTTTTTTTTTTTTTAAAAGATGACCGGTAAGGGGATCTCAATCCTTGGCTTGGTGTTGTCAGCTCCACGCTCAGCCAGTGAGTCAACTGGCCATCCCTATATAGGATCTGAACCCGTGGCCTTGGTGTTATCAGCACCACACTCTCCCGAGTGAGCCACGGGCCAGCCCAGGCTACGTTATTCTTGATGCTGGTCAAACAGCTGGTCTATTTTCTAAAGCTAATTACTATGCCAAGAGAGTAATTCTGTGTTGTTTCGGGGGAGCTCAGCATTATAAGGTTTTATTTTTTTATTTGTAAAATTTAAGACAAGGATAAAAATGATAATTATAAACCTAATGAAATATTTTTTTCTCTTCTGACCTGAAGAGGCAGTAAACACTGACTAAAATATTTGTCACAAACCACTTGCTTCTAAAAGATAAGTTTTCTCAGGACCGGCTGGTTAGCTCATTTGGGAGAGCGTGGTGCTGGTATCACCAAGGTCACAGGTTCAGAGCCCCTTACTGGCCAGCGGCCAAAAACAAGAAATATCTTTTTCTTAGTAATTTTTTTTTTTTTTTGGGCAGCTGACTGATATAGGGATCGAACCCTGGACTTTGGTGTTGTCAGTACCACACTCTAACCAACTGAGCTAACCAGCCAGGCTTTCTTGGTAGTTTTTAAAGGACTGTGTCAATGTTTTGTGTTTTCTTCTTTTAAAGTGGAAGATGATGATGATGATGACAACCTCCCCCAGCTGAAGAAGGAGTCAGAACTGCCCTTTGTTCCCAACTATTTGGCTAACCCAGCCTTCCCTTTTATCTACAGCCCCGCAGCTGAAGATTCAGCCCAGATGCAGAATGGGGGCTCCTCCACACCTCCTGCATCACCCCCTGTAGATGGCTCGCCTCCATTGCTTCCCCCTGGGGAACCGCCCCTGCTAGGGGCCTTTCCACAGGACCACACCTCTTTGGCACTGGTTCAGAATGGTGATGTGTCTGCCCCCTCTGCCATACTCAGAACACCAGAAAGCACAAAACCGGGGCCTGTTTGTCAGCCACCAGTGAGTCAGAGCTGCTCCCTGTTCTCTTCTGTCCCATCCAAGCCACCAGTGTCTCTGGAGACTCAAAATGGGACATATGCAGGTCCGGCGCCAGCATTCCAGCCATTTTTCTTCACTGGAGCATTTCCATTTAATATGCAAGGTAACCCCTCCTCAGCAAACAGCCTCTGCAACAGGGGAGCCTAAGGGTGTGAGATTTATTTATTTGTATAACGTGGGTATAATTATAAACTTACAGAAAAGTTCCAAGACTAGTATAAGGAGCTCCCTTTACTCAGACTGACAAATTGTTTACCTTTTACCCTGACGTACTTAGGTATATTAGTATTGTATTTCTCCCAAGAACTGGATATTCTCTTATGTAACTATAGTAAAATGATCAAATTTAGGAAATTGACCTTGGTGTAATACTTTTCTGTAATCCATAGTCCACATATAAATTTTGTAAGTTGTGTCAGTAATGCCCTTTGTAGCTATCTTTGCTCTCCTGACCCCTGCCCTGTGCCCAGGATCACACATTGCATTTAGTTACCATGTCATTTTAATCTCCTCTAATCTGGAACATTTCTTCATCCTTTATTATTTTTGACATCAAACTTTTTGATGATTATAGGCCAGTTATTTTGTAGGATGTGATTTTCTGTCATTCTTTCTCTTTATTAGTTGGTATTCTACTGTAAAGAAGAACTTTCTCTTCTCCCCTATTTATATCACTATGGACTCATGGATTCTTATTTTATTCAGTGGGTTATAATGCATTACTGTCATTATTTCGATATTCAGATTATCCCAGATTCGGCCAGTGGGAGCCCCTTCAAGCTAGTTCTTGTGTCCCTTGGACATGTTCCCATTATTCTTGCAGCACTGCCTTATTTTCTGGTGCAGCGAGATGTTCCAGGTTCATAGTGTAACTTTCCCTGTCCCAGCCCTGGAATTGAGCTCTGGTTCTTTTTGATGGCGAATGATATTTAGAAACCAGGATGTGGGCTCTAGGTGTCCTCATTGCTACAGGTGTGTCATTTCTTCTAGGCCTACTCAGAAGACAGCACCAGGAAAGAAAATAAAAAAGCAAACAGACACATATTCATTTATATATACATGTGTATCTATATCTCTACATCTGTTTATCTGTATCTTTTTAAAAATATTAAAAACCACAAGTTCATCCTGATACGTTCAATTCCAGTTGAACACTGTAGAGTACAGTCTAGTCATAGCTTTCCTTTTTCCCTGCAAGTAACTCCCTCGCTTCCTGTTTTGGGGGACCTACTACTATAGGTGCCGATAACAGTGGCCCCAGGATCCTATGAAAGATTTCTATATAAGGAGCAAAGCACCTGTACATAGGTGCTTGGCTCAGGCCATCTTGGCAGCCAGGCTAGGATATAGAAGGCAGATTGCTTAGATCCCAGACCCATTAATAATAGTTTTTATTTACTCCCAGAGCCAAGCCCCCTCCCTCATTAAGGTATATTGTATTCAAATCATAGTTAGCTTTTGACTTTTATTAATAGCTTATCTTTTTGCTCTTTTTTTGTCTTTATTGCAAGGAGTTTCATATTTAGAAAGTATTTTTCATACTTTCATTTATGACTTTGGATCCATAATTGTTAACTTTTTAGAGTAACTTATGTACCATATCTTGCCTGTGCCTTCTTTCAAGCCCCCTGCCTGGCTCATGTGTAGTTTGATCTATGCTTTTTTTTTTTTTTTTTGGTGACTGGCTGGTATGGGGATCCGAACCCATGACCTTGGTATTATACACCACATTCTAACCAGCTGAGCTAATCTCATGTGTAGTTTCATATCCAACCCATTCTTAAATCTTTACCTCCTTAGCTCCAATGACAGAAGTAAATTTTCCTTCAACACAGCTGGGATGCTTGCCCCTACCACCCCCCCTTGTACTTTGTGGACCACAGTCTTAGATGTAGGGAGGACAACGCAGGAAACTTCCCCAGCAGAGCCAGAACTGGGCTTAAGCAAACCCTGCCATCTGTGCTTGGTTTTCTCATTGGGTAGCACCTTTGGCATGGGGCATGATTAAGTAACCATCTTCTGAAAAAGATCTTAATTTACATGGGCTGTACTATGCCAGAACCATTCATTAACATTTCTCTCTCTTTTTTTCTAGAGCTGGTACTCAAAGTGAGAATTCAGAACCCATCTCTTCGAGAAAATGATTTCATTGAAATTGAACTAGACCGACAGGAGCTCACCTACCAAGAATTGCTCAGAGTGAGTTGCTGTGAGCTGGGCGTTAATCCAGATCAAGTGGAGAAGATTAGAAAGTTACCCAATACTTTGTTAAGAAAGGTAAGAAAAGTCTGTTAAGCATGATGGTTGCTTTTTGCATTTGGAAAATACCTGCCTTCCTCCCTGTTATTTGAGTCATGGTTGAAGAAATGAAGAGAGAATAGAAAAGTAGCACAGAGTGGTTTTCCAAATGTAATCATTAAGCTTTCTTTCCCTGTGCTGTACTTTCTTTTCCCTCTATAGAGACACTGGCATTTTTGAAAGTTGTAGGATGCCAGAGAGAATTTTCTGAATTACTATTCACATGTAGCTAGTTTCAGTTGTTTCTGTGTCATCTGTAAGGATTACCTTAGTGCACTATTAGATGTACCTTGTGTTTTACAAGATAAGAACCAAGTAAATTTATAGGGCAAACCACATACATACATGTATGGTCCTCCCAGAGTCTCTGGGGTCTTGAAAATAAGTCTTCTGGCTTCTCAGTGCACCTGAGGAAAACTGATCCATGCACATCCCTTCAAGTTGTGTGCTCGTCCTGTAGCAGCTGCTGTTAAGGGCTTCTGCCATTTCATTTTTCTTTTTTTTTTCTATATAAAGATGACTGGTAAGGGGAGGGCTTCTGCCATTTCAACCCAATTCATACTCTTGGGGACTTGATTGCACTATCAATGACTTAGCCCACCCTGGGGTTTTTTTGGTTTGTTTGTTTTTTGCTTCTAGGTTTTGCAATGAGCCAAGATACTGGTATCAGTACAGCACACCAAACACATAAAGACAAGTAGCCCCTCTTAATCTGTTAAACCTATTTTTGTTTTAGGACAAAGATGTGGCTCGACTTCAAGATTTCCAAGAGCTGGAACTGGTTCTAATGATAAGTGAAAATAATTTTCTGTTCAGAAATGCTACGTCCACACTGACTGAAAGGCCTTGCTATAACAGGAGAGCTTCAAAACTGACTTACTAATGCAGCAGGGACTTTTATCACTGACTATTGTGACAGTGCTTGTCACCTCTGGGCCAAGGACAAGCCATTGATCTAAATGCCTGTATGCCCGGGAGGGCCCCTGGTGCCACTGCGTGGTATACATTAACATCGTTCTGCCTGGGTAGGAGGCCCCTGACCCCCAAGCAGCGGTGCCACTCTTCCAAGCCTCTTGGTGCACAATAAACCTATCGCTTGAAACTTTGAACAGCCGAGAAGTGGTCTGGAGAGGCAGAAGCCAAAGGTTCTATATCCAGTGTGCTTTATGTGGAGAATGTAAGGAAGTTGTCTGAGCAGAAGCTGAGAGCGTGCAGAGACTGTTTCCAGTCATTCCTGTTGATGTGCACCTGAAGGCTGGCTGTGCTTTTCTTGGTGTTGCGCGCTCACAGCTCTCCTGAAATTGTGAACTGACTAGAGAGGAAGACTGGGGAAAGCACAGGTACTAGACAAATGAATTTTAGTATGGCTGTGAGGTTTCATATAACATGTTTGTAAGTGTCACTCAGGTTTAAAGTATTTAAGAATACAGCTAACTAATTGTATATATGCTGTTAACCAAAAGAGCTTCCCCTCCCCCACTTTTTCCTTTGTAAACACTCATGGAGGCTTCTGTGTCTCTAGACAGTCATCTCTGCACTGACTCCCTTTCATGGTCACTAGAGGGCTCTCTGATGCTTTCTAAAAGAGCAAGCGCTTTTTTACTCCGAAGCGATTTCTGTCATCTGTGTATTTAATTGCACCGAATGAGAAGAGCACAAACATTGCCAGTCCATGTTCTCCCCTTTCATTTTCCACCAGAAATGAAAAGCAATTTTTGAGACTGAATCTGTTGCTATTTTAAAGGTTATTGTGGGAAACTGAGCTAAAGGAGTTAACATCTTTATTTTTGTATCAAAGATAAAGGTTATTTTGAAATTATTAGGATTTTTACACAACTCTGGAATCTGTTGCTTTTGTAAACAAATTGTTTGATCTTTGAGATTCCCCCCTCCCCCAACCGATCTACTTAACAAAGTCAATTTGAGTCCACCAGACTTTGTTCTGAAAAACAAAACTTGAGCTTGGCATAAGAATTGTTTTAAAGAATGCATTCAAGGATTCTTTTCCTTTTCTTCAGTGTCATTACTGTTAAAAGAAAAGCCACTGTCTTGTTGAAACAAACAGCTTCACTTTAGAAATAAAAACTAGCACACTTAGACAAACAGGAGAGCAGGGGTTTGAAGCCAGCTGCTAAAGAGCATCCCTGCTGTCTTAAGAAGCTTTTTCCCCATAGTGCCTATAGTTTCCAAAGAAACTTAACTTCCTAACTGTGTTAACTTAATTTTATTAGAACACTACAATTGAGTGAGAACGTGCAGAAGATGTCAGTGGAGGAGAATGTTGTGTTAAGATAATGGCCTCCTGCTGCTGCCTAAATGCTGAAATGATGTTAAGGTGTTTTTCAAGGCCAACTTCATGAAGTCACATTGTTTAGTGACTTAATTGTATTCTAGCAATTATGCTGGTGACTTACTCACCCTTGTACAGTGTTTGCATAGCAGAGTGAAGGTTACTTATTACCCTCTTTTCTGGAGTGCTTTAAAGAAGAAACCACCCTTGTGTTTCAACAAATTGGAAGCTAGTTCATCTAGATGTAGTCACCTTTTTTTTTCTTTGCTTTGAAAAAAGTTACAATTTACTGATACAATTAAGTCTGGTTCTATCCTAGAAGGAATAAACTCAGTATTAATTCATGTGTAAATTACTGGGGTTAAAACTCAGCCACCCCCAAAAAATAAATAAATAATAATAATAATAATAAAAAAAACTCAGCCACCCAGATTATTAGAGGCTCTCAGACGCGGTGGAGGACCTGGCTGGGAGGTGGCCTACAGAGGAGTAGCTCCAGGACATTTCCCAGGCTCAGAAACCGAGGCAAGCAAGGGTTTTGGTGTCTCAGGTGAGAGATGGGTCTGATGTGGCTCTGCCCTATGCTGGTCTCTCTTCTCCTTTGTAAAATCCTCTGTGGTCAACTGACTTCTGCATATAGCATTGGGATAAGACTGCACAGTTGCTGGTAGGTGAGTTTAAAGTCTTAATCTATGCATTCAGAGAAATATTTTTATATGCTTTGTGTAATTTATAACAAGGATTTTTTTTTAGCTTTGTTAACTGTAAATTCACCCCTCTTCCTCCACTGCATATTTAAAGCATGTGTTCACTGTGTGTAAACATTCACTGAAGGTTTTTTTTTTGTGCACTGCTGACAGTTCAAACATAACAAGTATTATTAAAATTAAATATTAACTGACTGAGCCTATGTTATTTAATTTTGGCCTCCTAAACAGCACTGTACTTCTAATCATAGGGGTTCATATTGTTGGACAGTCCCAGGGACCAGATGCTCTGGAGGGAGAATAGAAGGACCCGCTCCCCACCTGCGCCTCTGCTATTCTGCTGCTGGTGCAGTGTTCATGCCCTGTCAGTGGCACCTGGAGACAGATATTTTGTGTAGCATCTTTCCTTCCAGTTCACAAGTCAGTTTCATTTCCCTGGAGTAGATGAGCCAGCTAGATGAAGGTCATCCCCTATTAACCACATTTTGTTATTATCCTATTTCCTTTACACAACTGAGCCTTTCCTTTGGGCTGTCAGCACCTGTCAGGGCCTCAATGAGCTCAGAGGCAAATTCCCAAGACAGGAGAGGAAATACAGCCTTACACTTTCAGATTTTTAGCTGAGAATGATGCTGAATGAATTTGCTTTTCTGTTGGTTTGGGCCAGCTAGAGCCTCACAAAGCAGACGTCATGCCAAATTGGCCTAATAAATCAGAGAGCATAGCAGAGACCTTTTCTTAGCACCAAGGAGAGGCAGGATAATTCGGGCATTTGTGTATTCATACTTGCTTTATCACAAGGATGGAGGTTATCTTCCGTATTCTTATACACATCCCGGGCAGAAACAGCCTGCCAAAAAAAACGTGATTAACCTTTAACAAATGGTCCTGTAGCACAGGCCAATCCAGAGCATATAGGAAAACCAGATCAAAGGCGCCATCTCTGTTATCTACTAACCCTATCATACCCCCACCATTTAGGGTGGGAAAAAAAGAAACCATCACCCACAACCAGTCAAGTCACATCATACCAATAATAAAGGTATAGGAAATGAGAGTGAGGCAAAGACCAGAAAACTTAGTAAGGTAACAAAGAGAAGAAATCCATTCTAATACAAGGCATTGTGCCAGGCAGACTCTAACCTGCAGAAAATAAACTGTTGGCTTGCTCAAGAAAGCAAATTTACCCCCTCATATCTGGGACTGTCAAGGCAGGGGGCAGCCTCTGGGCTTCTCTGTGCTCACGCATTAAGCTTCAGCTGGACTGAAGAAAATTAATGACTCGGAGGCCTCCATGGTTATGGGCCCTATCTGGAACAGAATTCTTTTTTTTTTTTTTTTT